TGAAGCTTACTTGGCGGACCCGGCTTTGCACAGCTCGGCTCAACCTGCGGGCCCAGGCACCTTGCCTCTAAACCTCCCCTTGAAGAAAAGCATCTTAACTACTGGCAGTTGTTTCCCTGTCAGTTTCCGCAAATCGTGGCGTTTTGTTTCATGGCGTTCGCAGCGTGCGTGGTCATTTGGCACACTTAGCCCATTTTTGAGTCAAAGGGCTACTCATTCGGCTCAGCACAAGATATCCACAGGTCGCTAGACTGGACTAGACGGGAAGGCCTTCCGAGTCTGCGACTCTTTCCCAGGATGCTCTAAACCCTTGGTACCCCAATGCCCTAAACCATCTAAACCGTTTAGAGTTTTGGCTGAGAGTAACTTTCGCGCGCTATGGTTTGGAACCGCATTGCGCTTGTCAGTCTGCTGCTTGTCGTGCCTGCCGCCGGCCAGTGCGACGAAGGCACCTGCCAAAGCCTCCAGCCATATTTCAATTGTCAAGTAAACTTCAGCGAAGGGGCTGCCGGTGCGGGGAACATGATGGCATTCGCAGTTTGCACAGACATTGGCGACGTTGTCGTGCGGGTCGGATTTGTTGGCGACAGCCACTCGGAGCAGTATGTCGACGCTTTGCAGTTGTTGAGGCCATACCTAAGGGAGAACGGTATCATCAATCTGCCAGAGGATCACCTCGATCACTTGCCTACTGAAGAAAGGTTTGTGGAAACAGTGTTCCTGTCAGGGTTGTTGTCGGTATTGCGATCGCGGCCAATCAGACCGATCCACCTCAAGCGGGAAGTCCAAAGCGAACTCTTGTGGCGTGAAAATCTCAGGCGATCAGTCGGATGGGTGTTTGACATAGCGGGACCTGCAGCATCATGCATGTATTGCTTCAACGACACGGCAGTGGTAAGTTACCTTCCTTTATGCATCCGCCAACCGGGCGATGCACCAGGACTGTGCCACCCTGCCAAAAAAGCGCGGCTTCGCTTTACGCTGGAAGTGGAGGTCATGAATCGAGCAAGGCCTGTAGGCCCGTCGATCCCGCAAATGACCATCTCGCAGTTGCTGGTTCTTCTGACTGGCTACACCATGGACCTGCAAAAGATGACCTACCTTGGGTTTTTGCACGACAACCATCTCGGGAACCTTCTGCTGGTCGGAACGGGTCAGACTCAGAGTCAGATGGCCTGGCATGACTTTGGTGCTCGAAGCTACTTCCACGAGGCCACGCAAGAACAACTCGAAAGCTTCAGAAAGCTCTTCGATATGTCCTACGACACTGTGATTGAGCATCTCAAGAATCACCGCGGCACCGTAGGCCTCATTGCCGAGTTGGGCCAAATAAAGTCGGAGTGGAGCTTGGAAGGGATTGTCAGTGTGCGTGGCGTATCCGACGCACTGGCCACGCTCGCAGAGAGGTTGCAGCAGGTGATCATGCAATGGGCCGAAGGCAGCATCGACATCCGGCGTAAGGTGCTGCGAGCATGGAGCCGAGCATTGACACCAACAAGCGCTGAGGAACTTCGTGATTTTCTGGAGCGAGGTGGGCCTCACCCGGCTCGTTATCATTCACCTTTATAAATGTGTATTTGTACGGCATATTGCGGCATGTCATTCTGCGGGGCTCTGCACTGTCTGGGTGCGGGAGCTAGACAGCAAGGAAAGTACTGCGTGTGAGAGCAAATGTCGGGCACGGAATCTTCGTGTGGGTTGCGCACTTGGTGCTGCCTCCCTCCCCCCCCCCGCGACTGCCGAGATATTCCTCCTGCAGCTAGCGCACAAGGCCTGGTGCAAGCACTAGGGTGGCGTAGCTGACTGACCCGTGTGCTGGCACAGCTCCTCCTTCGCCAAAGCTAGTCTGCCAAGGTGGCCGCTGGCGCCTCTTAGGCTGCCGCGGCGTTGGTCGAGTGGTCTCGGCCCGAGCCCCAAATTCCTTAAGCGTTGCGGTTGCGCTGCCTCAGCGACGCCTGTGTGCCCAGGACGCCCAGGCTTTTGTTCCGTGAGCTCTCTGCGGCATCTAGTTTCGCTTAGAGTATAGCGTCGCCCACGTCTTGCAACACGGTTTCAGAGGGGTTGGCGTGAGCAAAACGGCAGTTTGCATTCAGAGGGTGAACGTTTGCAGCCTTTAACTGTTCTCACTTTACGCCACGGGTCATCGCAACAGGATGTCCCGTCTGCCGCGCAGTGCAACCCCGGAGCGCCCCCGCCCCCCCTCCGCCCAGTGTGCGCCGCCAAGGGCTGCCCTGGATGACACAAATGCGCGACGCGAACTCCTGGGGAGCGCCTGGCGGTCCAGTGTCTCCGCTATCGATTTCGTCTTGCTCGTTGCCGTCGCTACCCGCCTCCCCGCGCGGTGATCTCACGCCGATAGCGGCGCAGGAAGCACCTGATAGTCTTTGCTGTGTGTGCCTCGAAGCCTTGCGTCCGCCTGGTGGCGGCGCGAATGCAGCCACTCCTTTTCCGACTTGTGCCCGTCACCACATGCACGTCAGCTGCCTCGCCCAGTTCCGAGTCCAAGCTACCGGACCCTCGGAACTGTTGTGCCCTTTGTGCCGACACAGCCGCTGCTGGAAAGGGCGTGGATCCAGGTCGCTCGCGAGGCAATCGGTCCTGAGGGTCGGGTCGTGCCGCAGCAGTGGCTGTCGCGCACCACAGCGGCGCACGTCCGGGCCGACGACCGTCGCCGCTTCGACTTCGTTGTGTACGGGGCAACGACCAATGGCGAGGCCTTGTGCTGCGACGCCACGCTCGTCTCCCCTCTCACTCGGACTGGTCGGCCCGTCCCCGGGGCCGACGCTCGGGCGGGGGTCGCGCTTGTTACTACGGCACGCAGGCGCAAGGTCGCACGGTACCCGGAGCTGACGCGAGGGGGGCCTCAGCGGCTGGTTGTCCTCGCTGCTGAAGTAGGGGGCCGATGGAGCGACGAGTGCTAACAGTTCCTCCGCGCCCTGCTCCGGCTCTGCGTCCAGCGCGCCCCGCCACCCTTGCGCGCCTGAGCCGCCCAGGGCTGGGCGCGCCGCTGGTGGAGTGTGTTGTCGGTTGCCCTGCAGCGAGCAGTCGCCAGCTCCGCGCTTGGCGTGTGGACAATGCCGCTGCTGCCTGGCGCGCCAGACACGCTCCCATTGAGCAACGTGCTCGACCTGGCGAGTGCGAGCGCCCCCAGTCGGCTGCCGCTTCGCTAGCACTCTGTAGGAGTCTAGGTAGCTGACGTCGTAGGGACTCGGGACGCTTTCGGCGGACGCAAAAGGGCGCGGAGGCAAAAAAAACAAAATCTAACTTGGCACTTCGCTTTAGGCGCATCTCACGTCGCAACTCCGTTCGAATCTCCCTGGACAATCTGCAACCGTTCCGCCTTGTCACGGCAACCGCGACGAAGTTTCATCAAATCTTGCAATTTCGGTTTCTGCCAAGGCTTGGGTTCACTAACAACTGTCCGGCGTTCCACATCCTGAGCGCAAGTCACGACACATGACTCGATGTCAGCAAAACATGTTGGTGTCTCTCTGGCCAAGCTGTTCGTCAGAGATTTTTGATAACGAACAATGTGATCAGGACTCCAATCGTACTGCACACGATGGTGGTTTTACCGTCGCTTGCTTCGACGGAAATTCAATCTGTGAAATTTTGCTGCCACCAACCTGTGATCGGAACCCAAATCTAAATCGTCTGATGCTTCAGCATGTCGAGCAAACATGTTCCGCGTGTAAAGAATGTAGTCAATGCGACGTTTGATCTGCAAAATGTCCACGAATTGTCAGGTTCCGAATCACCATTTGCAACGTGCAAGTGATACATGTGCAATGTCTGTACGGCCGTGGGAGCGCAACGCGCATATGCCAGCTCCCTCCTTGAGCATCCTTGAGCTGCCGCTGGCCGGGGAGTGCTGCGTGGACGGCGCAACGCCAGACCTCCACGAAGTCCTGGCCGACGCGCGCTGGCTGGCGCCCCCGCAACCCAGCCGCTTGCCGCGGCCCCAGCGCTAGGCAGCCCCGGGCGAGCGCCTCTTGTAGGGCCGTAGGATGTTTTAGCTGGCCCCGACCGTCTGACCGTCGTCTGCAGTTGCAAAAAGGCGCGGAGAAAAAAACCAAAGGCTCCTTGCTGGACAGAGGACAGGATTGGGGCTGCATCAGGCTGCCACGCACAGGCACTGCAACGATGTTGCGCTTGCTCCGCGATGTGGATGCGCTGGACGCGCCCGGCAGGCGGAACAGTCGGCGCAGTGGCTGCGGCTGCAGGGCTTTGACGTGCCCACGTGGGCCGCCTTGCTGAGCGGGACGTCGCCGTCGACAGATCAAGAGGCCGATGGGGGGACCACGCGAGGACGGAGGGGCTGGCGGCGCCGCAGCGGACGCGCGCACGTTCGAGAATTTTTTTTTCTGGGCGTTGCTGCTGTCCCGGGCCGCCCGACCGGACAAGACTTCACGAGTTCCGCGGGTTGATGCAGCGCCGGCAGCGATTGCCGCCCCGGCTGCTTCCTAAGCGATGATGTTGCTGCGGGGGCATGCTTGACCCATGTGGCGATCACACTCGGCATGCGCTCAGGTTGAGGTGCTGGCGCACCGTGCAGGGCCGCTGGAATGCCGCGAAGCCGGGGCGCGACTGGCTACCAGCGTGGCGCTGCGGGATCTCAACCTGGACCTCCCCGCCTCGGATGGCCGCCGGACTGAAGTGGTTGCCAACGGCCTGCCGCTTTGGCGAGGGGTCCCGATTGCCATCGACACAAAAAAAACGCAATCAGGCGCAGCGGTCAGGTGCGCGCAGGCTGTGACAGGACGCCGGGGCTTGCGCAACAAGCAGAGGAGCGCAAACGCCGCACCTACTCCGAGCTGCGCCGCTGGATCACCGGCGCGGGCGGTGCCGCCTCGTGGTTTTCGGGCTGGAGGTCGGAGGGCGTGGCGGGGCTGCTCTTGGTTTGTTCCGACAGCCGGCGCGGGCCCGCGGCGCGGCACGGGCACCGTGGAGTGCGGGAAGTGGCCGCTGGATGGCCATGGACATGGGCAGCAAAGGCGGGGATGCCTTTAGAACTTCGACGCTTGTTGGCCCACCACATTCACGACGGTGCTAGCACCGAAACATACAGCCGAGATGTTCTCGCACCGGCAGCTCGAGAATTGGAAGAGATCCTCACAGCTATTCAAAGCGGTGAGCTCCTCCCTGATGCGACATGCTCACAGACCAGGGCCCATGCGACGACGCTGCTCGAGTTGCCCGCGCAGCCACAGGACGCCGGGGACGGGCAGGAGGTGCCAATCGGAGAACTCCTCGCCCAAGAGCCCGCGGGCGGCCCATTGGACAGCCGGCTTTCTCGCTGAGAAGCACCGATCCTTGGATCATCGGCGGGAAAACGGGCGAGCAAAAAAGAAAAACACATAAATAAATAAATACATTATATAATTATATACATATACATATACATATACATATACATGTATATGTATATGTATATGTATATGTATATGTATATGTATATGTATATGTATATGTATATGTATATGTATATGTATATGTATATGTATATGTATATGTATATGTATATGTATATGTATATGTGCTCGGCCATCGCCGTTGTTCAGACGGAGATCCCATGCAGTCATGTCATCTAGCCACAGGTAATCTTTGTGACGAGGATTCTTAGCGACAGCTCTCCGACTGATTCGGAAGGCTTCTGACAACACCTGTAAATTTTCGCAGCTCCCGAGCACGCCCTAGTAGTAACAGTAACTGTAACAGTATGCAGACTTGCTAGTCGGGGGCTACAAGTAGTTCGCCACCTCCATCACGAGCATGGAGTGGCATGTAGAGTTGTTCATTGGAGTGGGCTTCGTGGTGCAGCTCGCGTTAGCAGTCAAGCTGGTCTCCGGCACCGCCGCGAACAAAGGAAACATCAAGAAGTGGTTGATGTGGTGCCGGAGCTGTGTGGCTGGCCTTGTCCCGCGGCAAGAGCATGATTCCCGCACACGCGATCAGAGACTATGGAATGAAGTCATGCGGATTCACATCCAGCTGTCCCAGTGGACTATGGTCTTTCTGATGTTTGCTGGATTTGGGTTGCTGTCGGCGGCGCAAGTGTTTGTGCTGTCGGGATCAGACCCAGCGAAGTTTTGGTTATCCCCGCCGCAGCTGTGGACAGGAACGTTTGGCCTTGTCGTCGTCTACTTGTTCACATTTGTGCCAGTCCGCTTCCAGTCCTACATGGTCCACGCCTTCTACGTCATGTTGAATATCATGGCGCTAGTCATGCTCCTGCCGTCCCACTGCCCCAGGGATCAGCTTATTCGGAATGCAATGACGCAATTCATTATGTTCCGCGTGCCTTCGATTCTTCTGACTCCTCGAGCATTGCTCGTGCTGGCCATGGGGTCCGGATACCTCCTTATGTCCTTCTTGCGATTTACGCTTGAGCCCATTCCTGAAACCAGCGGCTGTGCAGTTGACGAGCAGTTCCTCGTGAGAATGGAGGTCTACGGGCTGATTGCTACGACCTTCCTCTCCCTCATGGTGAAGTCAATGGTCAAGCGGAAGGTGGAACTGAGCGTGGACAGCAGTAACCTGGCGAAACAACTCAGTGCTGCATCCTCGTTGCTGAAGCTTACTTGCGATGCCGTCGTTGAACTGGACGACCGTTTGCGACTCACAGAGCATTCCCCAGAGCTGTCCGCCTTACTTCTGCACCGACCAGGCTCCACCATGAAAGGCAAATGTCTGACGGATTTCATGAAGCCTGACGATGCAACCCGTGCCACGCAAATCCTGTCTCGAGGGCCGTCTTCCCATGATACCCAGATCTCTGCTCACGCTTTTCACACGCGACTTGTGGATAGTTGCACAAGTAAGCTTTGCGCAGAGGTCTTTCAGGTGAAATACACCAAGCACGATGGCAAGGAGTATAGCTTGCTGGGCCTGCGTGACTTCACAGACGTAAAGCCGCTCTCGGGAGGCAGTGCCATGGATGCGATTGAGCCAACTTCCAGCACGGACAGCGTGGGCTTGTCTGTCGGGCAGGTAATGACAGCAACTGACACCACACAGGCAGTTGCAAGTTTCTGCTCGGAAGCTCTGGATGCAGAGGATACTGCAAGCAGCGTGGGCGTAGTCAGCTCCAATGACGAGTCGTTTCTGATGCGGCCCCGAACGGTCTACATGCATATCGACCCGGAAGGCATGCTGATACAGGCGGCTTCATCCCCCTTGATGGCGCTGGCGGGCTCGCAGCTGGCAGACGTGTTCCCTTCCCCGCACACGACGCTGCTGTTGGAGCAACTCCGTCGTGAGGCAGACCTTTTCCGAAGTAGGGGCGAGGAACCCCCATCCCGCGTTCTCCACTACGAAGAGATGCCCGTGATTTTGATTCCTGGCACGGTCGACCGCATCACCGGGACCATGCAGATCACCCAAGTGAGATCTGGCGGGACACACGTCCTCATGGCATTCGCCCCGCACCGGCCAAGATCGGAGTCCGAGGGTCGGCGCAGCTCTCGGAATTCCTTGAGATCTGTACCAGAGAATCGTGAGACAGCGCTGTGCCTCTAGCAGTCCTAGTAGGTTTCGAGCTTGGGACTTGCATTCAGACTCTTTACTAAAAGCTCATAGGCACCTTACTGCATTGAGACAGCGTTTATCAGAAACCAAACAACTTGTGGCACGAAAGCTGCCAAGACAAGTCAACATCGCCGATAAGGCGTTGCTTACGGTCGCCCGTACGACGAATGTAGCCCCACAACACAGTCATGGCTTTGTATATGTAGAAGGCATTCAGCCAAAGTTTGTCGCAGAGGCGTGCGGAGCGCAGACTTTTTTGTGAGGGTGGTGGATGAGTCACTGCTCGAGCAAAGCAGGGAGTCCCTTCTATATATCCCTCTGTAAGTGGGGGTTGGGTTGGGACACAATTTTGCGAAAGTCCCACCTTGCTGAGACTTCAGTCGAGGGTTTGCGAGACCCGTGAGTTCACTGCGTTTAGTCATCCTGTTCTTGGTGACGGTACAACGATCCAAGAATGCATCCTTTGTACAGTGTAGACCGGACTTCTCCTGGAGGGGGAAAACTTCCGAGCTTTTGCCTTAAGCCCTAAGCCCTAAGCCCTAAGCCCCAAACCCTAAACCCTAAACCCCAAACCCTAAACCCTAAACCCTAAACCCTGAACCCTGAACCCTGAACCCTAAACCCTTCATGTGAGACCGAGCCGCCGCTTCCCAAGCTTTGTTTGACCAACTACGTCATCCTGCAGTGTGCAGGCGAACTACCCCAGACCCCTTGGGGGAGGATCCAGATATAGGATCCGCTTGAGGGTTTAGGGTTTAGGGTTTAGGGTTTAGGGTTTAGGGCTTAGGGCTTAGGGCTTAGGGTTTAGGGTTTAGGGTTTAGTGACCCAAGGGTAGTATTACGAGTGTATCGGGAGAATCCCCCTCCCCCTGTTTGCAAAAGATAAAAGCCTTTGTCGAGCGCCCGCCGTGCTGCTCATACACTTCAACAAAACCAGAGCCACTCGGTTGCAGTTTTTTGGGGAAATTCGCACAAGCAGGGGGGGCTCTCAAGGGAAGTTCCGTGCCACCATTCTTTCAAGAGCAGAATGCCCAATGCACACCGCGATGTGTATGAGACAGGGTCGTCTTCCTGTTTTCGCCGCCAGTCATTGCTAGAGCTTTTGTAAACGTCAATGCGTGAACTGGCGCTCTCATTGCATTCTCTCGCATGCTCAGTGCAGAGGTGGCTCGTTTCCTTTTAATCGCGTAACCCCTAGTCTCGAGCGTTGAAGTGTCGTCCCTGTTGGCGTGCCGACGTCCCAAGCGTGTGTGGCTTTTCATGTCTTCTGTTGGTTTCTTTTGGAACATTTTGTCGCAAAGCGGTGCTTCGTGCCTCGCTCGACGCAACCGGGGCGTGTCGTGAGACATGCCAGGCAAAGGCGTGTGAACAGCGACGAGCTAGCCTCCACGTTGTTTTCCCCTATTTATAGGTCATCGCCACCCACGGGATGGGCCAGGGTCGGCCACGAGCGGGGGGTAGCCGTCTGGGCATCCTGGTGAGTCACCCATGTGCACCCATGTGCACCCATGCTACATGCGCGAACGCTGAGTGAAAGAGGAGCAAGTGTTCGTTGGACCTGCAGCCCTTGGGTATTACAATCAAAGATGCCCACTTAGGCTCATATAAGTGGTGCCACCTTAGTGCCAGCCGTCATACGCACATTACGAAAGGGGTAGCTTCTGGTGCATGTCCTGCCGCCTGTGCTTGGAAGATGGTGGCGCCCAAGAGCTGCTGTCCCCCTGTGCCTGTCGGGGTTCATCCGGCTACGTGCATGCGGAGTGCTTGGTGCAGTGGTGCGTCTGCCAGGGAAACTTTCGGACTTGTGACGTCTGCCACCAGCCTCTTGCAAGCATGTTCAGCAGGATAGAAGTAAGTTTGTGTGCTCTCGTTTTTTAGACGAACAACTTGGTTTTCATATGTTGTCATCAAGGGCCGAATGCCATCACACACTGAGGCCGTTCGTTGGGAAGGCGGCGTTGCTTTTGGCCAGGCATGCTTTCCAACGTGCAGATCCGTTGGGCGAGGTGCGAAACACTAAGGTTTCATAGCTCTTGTCAGTCCGTGATGTCAGCTCGAGGAGCATCCCGAAGCACTAGCAGCGACATACCATTTGGCACAAGCACTGGCTGGAGAAGGCTCGCGGACTGTTGGTGGTGCAGGGTGTGGAAAGCAGTCAGTGCATGGCAGTTCACAGCGTGCACAACGTGGTTTGCGCAGTCGACCTATCTGGCACAGGTTGCCACAAAGAAGCCACAAAGTGGCGCGGCGGAAATGTGTCAGAGCGATGAAGGCAATGTGGAAGCCTGTGCAAGGTTTAATCATCGAGCACGCGGCTTAGCAGTGAACTCAGGCTCTTTGAATACCTTCAGACCATCTACGTCCGCAAGAAAGGTGCAACTTGGGATGTTCTCCCGTTATGCTAACAGTCCCTAATTCGGATTATAATTACGGGGGCACTGTAAGCCCTATTAAGGACTGTTCGTATAAGGGGGGAGCATCCCAAGGTGTATCGCACTTGGACACGTTGGCGGTGTGCAGTTCCTGGGCATTGTCCTTGTCTGCCTTAGAGAAGTACGAGGACGCGGCGACCTTCCAGGCCTCGTCTACTAGGACCCCCAGAGTGGGTGGGATGTTTCCCCGAAGAATAGCAGTCCTTAAGAGGGATGTTCGTAGTCCCGCCCATTATCATCTCTATTAAGGACTGTTGGTATAAGGGGGAACATCCCCAACTTATTCCCTTTTTTTGGGGAGTTTAGGCTCCCTTCTGAACCCCGTTAAACCAAAAAAAGGGCGCCATGTTGATTCCGAGCCTAGTCTGATAACCCGAACCCTAATACACCTTAAACCCCGAAACCCTAAACCACGTAGACCCAAAACCCGAAACCCTAGAAACCCTAAACCCTAAAGAAACGCCACAAACAGGATTTGTTCAACATTGGTTTGGGTGCTTTTGCGCTCGGAGACCTCAACTGGGACACACATTCTTGTTTTGTTGTTTTTGCACGGCGCCTCCGAAGGCTTCCGTGTTGACCCAGTTGCGAAGCAAAGTCGGGAGTGATCACGCGCGGTCTATGACAGAGCTCCTTGCTGGCAGCGATCGAATGCTTTCGTGTTTCGTGGTCGAAAAGCAAAAACGAAGTTGTCAGAACGGGTTGGGGAACTGCCACCTTCCCTGACAGGGCCAACAATCTTGCCTTGACCCTGACGCATCTGGGTCGGCATGATGAGGCGCTCCCCCTTTTCCGGGAGGCGCAACCCTAAACCCTAAACCCTTTAACCCTTTAACCCTTTAACCCTTTAACCCTTTAACCCTTTAACCCTTTAACCCTTTTAACCTTTAACCCTTTAACCCTTTAACCCTTTAACCCTTTAACCCTTTAAACCCTAAACCCTAAACCCTCCGCGAGGCACTGGAGTTCCACGAGCGGACGCGCGGAGCGCGGTGCCAGGAGTGGATCACCGCGGCCAACAACTTGGCCGGCAGCTTGTGCAAGGCCTTGTGCTCTCGGAAGGTCGCCTTTTTGAGGGGTTTAGGGTTTGTAGGGTTTAGGGTTGAGGGTTTAGGGTTTTTCCGAACTTGTAACCTCATCTTCACCACAGCAAAGAAGGCGTGTGTGTGCGGGTGTTTGTGTGCCCCTGTGCCTGTGTGCAGGCAGGAGACCTCGAGGAAGCCGCCGAGGTCATCCTGCAAAGGGGACATGACTAGGACCCAGGGCAAGTAAACCTTAAACGGCCCTAAACGGCCCTAAACGGCCCTAAACGGCCCTAAGCGGCCCTAAACGGCCCTAAGCCCTAAACCCGAAACAAGTAAGTACTCTGCCTTCGGAAAGCAAGCCCTTCCTTGTGGGAATCATGCGCAGGTCTTCGCCAGAGCTGTGGCAAATTGCAGCCGGGTGCTGGGCGAACGGCATCCCCTCTCCCTGAAGTCCACCAGCAACCTTGTGGTCCCTCAGCGGATTTCCTTGGAGCAAGACGTGCCCGCAATCTCTTGAGTCTGTGGTTCAAACGTTCTTGGGTTTAGTTCTTCGGGCTTCAGCCAGCAGAAGTCCAGTCGAGTTTAGGGTTTAGGGTTTAGGGTTTAGGGTTGAGGGTTGAGGGTTTAGGGTTTAGGGTTTAGGGTGAGGTTGTGCTCCACCAGCTGGGTCGTATGGACGAAGCCGCAGAGGCGCAGGCCAAGCTGGTTTCCCTCTTCGAGGACATGGCAACCCTACCCTGGCCCCGAGAATGGGCGTCAATGTCGCAATGCCCTGCTTATCCCAGAGATCCCTAGATTATGGGTTCCCCTACTACCCCCCTCTATGCTACCCCCCCTAGGTTCCCCCCCCATAATTAAGGCTATTTAGGGAGAGTGAAGCTTCTAGAGCATGAACTTGTTCAGAAAAATTCGCCACCCGATGTTCCAGGAGGCCCATGGCAAGGACTCCCAGCAGACCAGAAGCTGGGTCGGAACTTGTCTTTGTCTTGCGCTTGGTTGGTAAACATAATAGTACCCTACACCCTAAACCCTAAACCCTAACCCTAAACCCTAAAACCTAAACCCTCAGCCTAAGTTTGGATTGGTGCTTGCTGGGGCCGCACCGACTGAGGACGAGCCGCATCGTTTCTGGAGCTGTTGCAGGGGCCGCAAAGAGGGCAGAAGCGAGCTTTTGGCGACAAAAAAAAGAACTGAATAGAGCCCCCCCTTCCGAAGCTCAGATGCACCCGAAAGCTCAGATGCACCTGGCACCGCTGCAGTTCAGTCTGCACTTGACGTTGCGACCTGCAATCCCCCGCAGTGAGTTGACATGCACAGGATCAAGAGTTGGGCAAGATGGCAGCTTGTGTACGTTGTGATGCTTCTGTCTTGATGCACACGCGGATGCAGCCCTTAAGCGCACGAATCCCCCCCGGAAGAAGCCACTGGCCGGAGAAGCCATGATCCGGAGTCGCTTTGCTGCTGCTGCCAAGCGCGTCGGTTTCGTCGGCCTCGGGAGCATGGGCAGTGGTTCCCTGGACGCGGTCCAGTCCCTAATTAAGCCTTGCAAAAGGCTCTAAACACATCGTAGTTCGGTACAGCTCAGCCAGTTATACATCGAGCATCCCGCCGGAAGCCCCAAGCAGCCCGAAAATCCCAAGAGCCACGTAGCCTTATACAGTTCGAACTACAGTAGCACGCGGCAATGGGCCACTGAAGAATAGGGCTCCATTAACCCCTAAACCCCAAACCCTAAACCCCAAACCCTAACCCCGCATTGCTGTGGCTAGTCGGGTGGCAAACAAACCCTAAACCCCAAACCTAAACCCTAAACCCTAAACCCCAAACCCTAATCCCTAAACCCTAAACCCTTACTCCCACGCAAACCATACCCAATCGTGGCGACAGGCATGGCCTCGAACTTGGTTTCCAGCTTGGCCGCTGGGAAGCCCCAGGCCGTGCCAAGGGTTTAGGGTTTAGGGTTTAGGGTTTAGGGTTTAGAGTTTAGGGTTTGGGGTTTAGGGTTTGGGGTTTCGGGTTTAGGGTTTAAGGGAAGCGGGTGTTACGACATCGTGGGGCTGGAGAGGCTCGGTCCCATACCCAAGGCTCTAAACCCCTTTCGGTCAAGCTCTGAAGCCTCAAATCCCCAACCCCTAAACAACTCCTTCAACCCTGAAACAACGATCCACACTTAACGCGTGCAAGAATATGCTGATGATTATTTTGCTACTTGTCTTAGAGTTCTTGTTTGTTTACTTGTTGCAGCTGCTGACATTGCAAGGGCAGCGCGCTCCTCTTCGACCGCGTCCCTGCGGTGGCTCGGCGCACGGCCGAGGCGGGCGCAGGGGCGGCCGAGGTGGCCTCCAGATGCAAGGCCGCAGTTAGGGTTTAGGGTTTAGGGTTTAGGGTTTAGGGGAAACGGTCTCGGGTCTGGGGTTAAGGGAACTTGTGCTTTTGGGGTTTCGGCCCAAGACGGGCGCATGATCTACTAGAGCAACCGCCATGTTTCGGGCTTTCTCAGAGGCCTGGCGGATAAAGGGCGTTATGGAGATGTTGCGTGGTTGCTCGGATGTCAGCAGCCCGAAGCGGCGGGCACCCACCCCACCCTCAGATGGCCTCAGGGAGCGCGGGAAGAGCAGCAACCTGGGCCCACTGCTGTGAGGGGGTTTAGGGTTTAGGGTTTAGGGTCTCGCACAATGCACAAAAGGTCGGGAACTCCCGATTGGTGTTGATTCTCCCTGCAGACCGAACTGGAAGCGAACCTCCAAGCACCCAGATGTTCAGCCATGTTCGATTAAACCATTAGACCCTTAAAAACCCTAAGCCCTATACCTGGGACTTTTTTACCTACAGTTTAGTCGTAACCACCCCTGAATTCCTAGGTGCACCCCAGACAAAACTGCATGTTAAGCTGAGGCCTCCCAGAACTCGCGGAAGGGAGTGACGTGGTGTTCCTGTGCTTGCCGGAGGCGCAGAGAGCGCTTCGGGACCCACGGCTAAGGCGTGAATCCCCCCCCTGAACCCCAGTTAGGGTTTGGGTTTAGGGTTTAGGGTTTAGGGTTTAGGGTTTAGGGTTTAGGGTTTAGGGTTTAGGGTTTAGGGTTTAGGGTTTAGGGTTTAGGCCCATATCCTAAACCCCAGTCCCTAAAACTTGGTATAGAGTCCCAAAGGCATGAGTCCCCGGCATGTAGCCGGGTGCATGGATCCTCATGGATCTAAGGGGCTGATCCCTCACGGAAAAGGAAGCTACTTGCATCAGGGAGGCAGAACCGCCGTTCAGAGGCTGGGAGGGGCTGCTTCTGATCGTGGGCATGGGCAGGTGAGCCCAGGTAGGAGCACCTAAACCCTAAACCCTAAACCCTAAACCCTAAACCCTAAACCCTAAACCCTAAACCCTAAACCCTAAACCCTAAACCCTAAACCCTAAACCCTAAACCCTAAACCCTAAACCCTAAACCCTAAACCTAACCCTAAACCCTAAACCCTAAACCCTAAACCCTAAACCCTAAACCCTAAACCCTAAACCCTAAACCCTAAACCCTAAACCCTAAACCCTAAACCCTAAACCCTAAACCCTAAAACCCTAAACCCTAAACCCTAAACCCCAAAGACAACTGCTTGTCGAGCTCCGGGGCCAGGGTGCCGTGGTCCTTGACGCTGTTCGGACCATGGCTGGGAGTCTGCGCGAAGGCCGACCGTGGGGTTCGTGACAAGGAAGCTGAGCTTAGAGGCGGGTTTGGGAGTCAGGGTGGAAGATTTAGGTTTTTACCATGTCTGGCTCGCTCTTTCTCTCTCTCTCTCTCTCTCTTTTCTCTCTCTCTCTCTCTCTCTCCCTCTCTGTTTCTGTGGTGAGGCTAGAAAGTATTGGACCTTCGGCAGGTGATACGGCATGCTCAATTCTTGGGGCGTGAGCCTCTATTTGGATATCCTGCCCTTGGTCGGTTACGAAGCGAGAAAATTCTAGACCCACTCGCCCATGTGGGTGGCAAAAACGCTGAAAGCCCAAACCCTAAGCAAAATAAGCAAATAAGCCACACAAAAGACGTGAAAAGCACGAAGCCAAATAAGCAAAAAAGAACTCACATCTACCTGGACCTCTCAACCCGCAACGCAGCCCTGGCTAGGGTCCCTGGTGGTCGACAACAGCACTACGTCGCCGGCCGTCGCACGGCAAGCGCCTTGGCCTTGTTCACTCAGGGTTTAGGGTTTAGGGTTTAGGGTTTTGGGTTTAGGGTTAAGGAAAAGGGTTTAGGGTAGTGGCCAAAGCTCAGTCGCAGTCTCCCAATGAGACGGGTGCGGGAGTAATAGCACGGAGCTGGGGAAATACGCATGTGGCCCCTGATCCCAGAACCCGAAGTCCTGCATGGGTTTGTAAAGGAAACCTGGGCTCTTTCGCAGCCTTGAAAGTTTTGACTTGGCAAGGCCACGGCCCGCAACCCTTTGCCAGCTGTCACTTTCACTCAGCATCCCGAAGCCCTAAACCCTAAACCCTCTTCAGTTGCCCCGTGGAGCTTTGCTAGACGGGTGGCAAAAAAAACCCTAAACTTAGTAACCCTAAACCTTAGTAACCCTAAACCCTAAACCCTAAACCCTAAACCCTAAACCCTAAACCCTAAACCCTAAACCCTAAACCCTAAACCCTAAAAACCCTAAACCCTAAACCCTAAACCCTAAACCCTAAACCCTAAACCCTAAACCCTAAACCCTAAACCCTAAACCCTAAACCCTAAACCCTAAACCGGACACAAACCCCCAACAGAACTTCCATGGGCTAACGCATTTAGCTGGCGGGTGGCTAAAGGCTGAACCATCATCCCCAAAAACCCTAGGCTAAAAAACCAGGACTCTGTCCATCCTGTGTAGAGACCCTATGCCTTGTTAGCTCCACAACCCTCCCGTTTAGCGGACAAAATCTTTCAGCCCAAAGCCCAACCCCCCCCCCCCCCCCGACTTTCACAAGCCCTATCGGTTTTGCTTTCCCAGCGAGGTGGCGCAAGAGTTGGCAGAGCGAGGCGGTTGCGGACTGCCAGGTTTTGTTTTGTTTTGTTTTGTCTTGTTCTGGAGTAACAGCACGAGGTTGTTGCTTACTCACTGCTTGTTTTGGCGGCTGTGCTGCGTGTTGTTTTTGCTCTCTCTCTCTCTCTCTCTGTCTCTGTTGGTTGGCTTGCTTGCGTTGCTTGCTTGGTTACATTGCTAGGTTTAGTTCACTACGAGTGTTCTGCGGTCTGCGTGTTTTCATGAAGGGCAACTACTGCCCTATGCACGCCCTGTATATGTATATATATATATATATACATGCGTGCGTATCTTTATATATACTCTAGATATAGAGCTCCGACAAACCTAAGAAGAATCAGCCAACCTGTGCAGTCAAGAGGCATGGATGTATCCTAAACCCCTAAACCCTGAACCAAAAGGCCCTAAACGCCCTCGAGACAGTGCAAGCTGAAGTTGAACTGAAAGAAAAAACAACAAGTTCCCGAAACGTTGCGCGGCCTGAGCCCCCCAAGTTCAGCAAAGGCTCAGAGCCTAAACATCACTGAGCCCTTAGCCCCAACCCCCCAACTCCAGACACCGTAAACATCCCAAGCCCTCAACCAAACCCCCCCCCCCCCCCCCGCCCCAACAGAAAAAAATAGGAACCGCAACCATAAACCCAAAAACGTTCCTAAACCGTAAACCAGTTTTCCGGTTGGCTTCCCCGTCTGTACCTTGCGGGTGGCAAAAAGACCCTTTTTGTTAGTAAAACCTAAACTTAAACTGTCTGGTGGGAACAAACAACCCGAAATCCCTTAAACAGTAGTAGACCTTGCGTAAGCCCTAAGCCCCTTGAACCGGCTAGCAAACCTATGGTAATAAGAAACCCTACGGTAAGCAAAACCATGGTAATAAACCTTAAACCTAAACCCTAGACCCGAAACCCTAAACCCTAAACCCTAAACCCTGAACCCTAAACCCTAAACCCTATGGTAACAAACTTCGAAGCCCTTTGGACCAGGCGTCGGCTTCCTGGACGCGCCCGTGACTGGAGCCCCGGCGCGCGCGGCCAAGGGCACGCTCACGGCCATGGTGGGAAGGGTTTAGGGTTTAGGGTTTAGGGTTTAGGGTTTAGGGTTTAGGGTTTAGGGTTTAGGGTTTAGGGTTTAGGGTTTAGGGTTTAGGGTTTAGGGTTTAGGGTTCAGGGTTCAGGCTTCAGGGTTTAGGGTAGAGGGTGTCTTAATGAGGGGTGCGTTGGTGCTGGTGCTAGAAGCACCCAGGCGCGCGCCCCGACTTGTTGAGCACCATCCCCGCCTGCGCTGTGACCTTTGCGGTTCAGGGTTTCCTGATCGTGCTCATGTCTATCATTCTTGTTGACAGCGGAGCAAGCTACAAGCGTTTGGGTGATCCGAAGCTCCTGGAAGGAGGCCCCCTCTAGGCCTTGGTGTCTGAGGTTCGGTGTTGGAAGCGAAAACAGGAACCCTAAACCCTAAACCCTAAACCCTAAACCCTAAACCCTAAACCCTAGGCTTCATCCCCTGTCCTGGTCACCTGATGGGGATGGCTGGTTTAGCCCACGTAGATCCCCTTCTAACTCCCCGGTATATCTCGGCTTTAAAGGCACACTTTTTCCGCGCACAAGAACACACAACATTTCCGGAACTAGTCCCTGCAACGTGGCCAGAGTGTCAGCTAGGCGGGTGGCAAAAAAAAAACCCTAAACCCTAAACCCTAAACCCTAAACCCTAAACCCTAAACCCTAAACCCTAAACCCTAAACCCTAAACCCTAAACCCTAACCCTAAACCCTAAACCCTAAACCCTAAACCTCTGGGAGGCTTCGGGGTCTGAGGGTGGGTGTTGGGGGTTAGCTGGCACCTTCGCACCTCGGGGGTGCCAGGGATGATGTACATGATTTTGGGGGCCCTGGGTGCATCATCCTGGGGACCGAGTGGAGACCGGAAAGCTATGGTTTAGGGTTTAGGGTTTAGGGTTTAGGGTTTAGGGTTTAGGGTTTAGGGTTTAGGGTTTAGGGTTTAGGGTTCAGGGTTCAGGGTTCAGGGTTTAGGGTTTAGGGTTTAGGGTTTAGGGATCTTTGCATCCTCTGGCCGTCAAGCCCTTAGGGGGCATCTTACTTCAAGGGCGACCTGACGGGTTTTCGCCAGCGACCTGCCGGGTCCTTGTTGGGTTCGGGGTTGGGGTTGCAAGGGTTGCAGAAAAGGGAGAGGGTGTAGTGTTCAGGGCCGTTGAGGGAGAGAGGGTTCGCGCGCAATGGCGGACCCTTTGGTCATGCTTAGGAACCTCCAGTACGTTGTGCAATTTAGGGCTTAGGTCAGGTACCTCTAAGTCTGGAAACCTGTGTTTGTGCTGTTTCATCAAAACCCGTTCCCAGCGCTGCGTGTTTCATCGGTCGTTCGGCCCTGATGGCCATCTGCCATTGTGATCCCCATCATCCCATCCACAACCCGTGCACTTGAGGTGGGAGGCTGCGCGCGGCACCTGGAAGCGGCGCAGCCCTTCCTGGAAGCCTTTGCCACGCAGATTCTGCGCCTCATATCGCCGTTTTAAGGGTTGCGCGAGGAGTGATAAAGATACCCGACTCCCTTCGTCCCTCCTTGAAACGAATAAGTCAAGTTGTGCCGGGACGTTGGATAGATGATTCGGCCCTGGGCCTGATGTTTGGACCCTGCGATGCCTCCACAACAGTTCTACAGACGGAGCGGTTCACCTTACTTTGTTGTGGGTGGGTTCGTAGTTTGGAACACGATCTCTGGTAGGCTTGCGCCATTGTGCTTCTTCGTGCCGAGCTTTAGGCACATGGGCGATGTGGGCAACGGGCAGCTGGCGAAAGCCCTCAACAACTGCCGGGCCCTTAGGCACAACAAGGCGCCCCCACCCCCGGCGTTTCGAAGATTTGCAGGTGGGCGTCCCCTGAAGTTGGGTTTAGGGTTTAGGGTTTAGGGTTTAGGGTTCAGGCTTTAAGGTTGAGGGGGTCGAAGTTCACCAAAGAATCGACACAAGCCTTGCGCCTTGAAGAGTGCCATTGACGCCCGTGCAAAGCTCCGTCATGGGCCCCCCAACACGCCCGAAATGCAAAGCCGTGACAGTCATTTAGCTGGAGAAGGGCCAAGGGGTGCATCCACCAATGGAGGCAACCATGGGGTTTAGGGTTTAGGGTTTAGGGCGTCCTATCCTGCCGAGGCCTGTACAACGTCAGCTGTGCCGCCATGGCCGAGATGCTTCCTTTCGCGCAGCGCTCGGGGCTCCCGCTGCCCGCCTTCGTAGACGCGGTGTCTTCCGGGACGGGGCAGTCCCTCGGCTTTGGTGTGTTGAGCCTTGATTGCCGGGGGTAGATTTTAGGGAGCCTTTCCGGGAAGTGCAGAGAGTGTCGCTGGTCGGGCTCCTTCTTCCCGAGTTGGACATGTTTTGGGCTTTTTGCACGTTGGGGCCCGTTAGGGTGTGACAGTATGATTGTCAAGTCATGGACCGGAAAAAAAAGCGTCCACCTTACCTGGAAACCCTAAACCCTAAACCCTAAACCCTAAACCCTAAACCCTAGAACCTTGAATCCCCTAAAGCTTGGTCCTCCGGCAGGTCGTTCGGCTTCAACCAGTGGGCACCTCTTGTCCTACAACGCGCTGTGGCTGCATCTGTTGTGGGGGGGGGGGGCCTGCACCAGGGGGGGCCTTCCTTGCTTAATTCCCGAGTTTCAAGCTTCAGGGCTCCTGTACCCATGGCCACCTCGTGGGATAAGCTGCAGCTGGAACTTTGATGGGATAAAGCTACTCCGCAAACCCCCTGCTTTTCCAACCGCATGGGCAGTTAGCCCCCGCAGATTCAGGGGCAGTCTCTTGAGCAGAAACCGGAGCACACATGGGGGGGTTTCCGAACTTAAGGCCCGTCACTTAGAGAAGTGACCATGTTGGGATGGCTTGGCATGGGTAGAGGGTTTAGGGTTTAGGGTTTAGGGTTTAGGGTTTAAGGTTTAGGGTGTAGGGTTTAGGGTTTAGGGTAATTCAGGCTTTTTGGGCTTTGAAATTCTCGCTCGGGGGTCAGTCCTCGGCTTGAGCGTGGACAAAACCTAATTTCTGACCCCTAACCCCTAACCCTGACCCCTAACTCCTAACCCCTAACCCCTAAACCCTAAACCCTAAACCCTAAACCCAAAACCCTAAACCCTAAACCCTAAACCCTAGGCCCTGTTGTCGAATCCCTTGTCGACCCGCTAAGGTGAGTTTGAGGCGCCAAAGCATGGCTTCCCCATGGGCTCAGCTTTCAAGGACCTGGAAACGCTTGCAGTCGCGGCCGATTCCCAAGGCCGGGTTTAGGGTTTAGGGTTTATGGTTTAGGGTTTAGGGTTTAGGGTAGCACTGGAAGTTTGTGCTTGGGCAGTTTCTGGCAATACCCACAGGCGTCCGTCCGGATAGCCAAAGGGGGTTTAGGGTTGAGGGTTTAGGGTTTAGGGTTTAGGTGTCAGGGGTGGAAAATTTTAGGTTTCAGGGGTCAGCGTGGGTTCAAAGGTCAGGTTCTAGGGTTCATGGTGGAAAGCCGGCCTCAGATCGGATCCGTGCCTCAACAAGAAAGGTCGCCAACCTTTCTTGCAGAATCCGGGTCATAAATGACGCTGGTTCGACGTCAGTACGCTACAGTCTTTGACTTGCATTTCGAAGGCACTGCAAGAATGTTCTCATGGTACCATGCGTACAGGCCTTCAACATACGGTAGGCGCTGCATACACAAGTTGCTCCGTATGTTGCCGTAGCATACCGTTGAAAGAACACCGTACCGTGCCATCATGCCCCCGACGTCGAGACAGGCCTTAGTGCTGTCATGCCCTTTGACAAGGGATGGCGAGGTGCGGCTGAAGACAGAGAAAGACTACGGAGACGTGGTTGCCTTTCTTCGCGGCAATCACGGAGTCAGTGTTCATCCAGCATCCATCCACACTGCGGAGATTCGGAAAGATGATTTTTTACGGCACCTCGCGAGGTTCGTTGGTGCGGAGCATGACTTGTTCATTGTGGCAATTCAAGGGGAAAGCCAAGATGGGAAGTTGGAGCTGTGTCATGGCACAGTCTCTGAGAAAGTCTCTTGTCAAGAGATCATGCAGCTGTGGCGACATAGACACACCAACTGGGCCCTTCCGCCAGCCAGCCTTTTCCTGCTTCTGGATTTCTGCCATAGTGGCGCTTGGGCTGTGTGTTGTGCGCATTTGCCACGTGAGTGGGGAGTCTTTGTGCAAGCTTCCTGCTCGGAGAAGGGCAAGACGCCGGACGACTACATCAAATCGTTCAGTCAGACCTGGATCAGCACGCAGTTGAAGGGGGAGATCGTATTTGATCCAAAGAATCCTAAGTCAAAAAGGAACAAGCCTGTATTTCATGTCCCCCCTGGAAGCAAGATGCCTTGCTTGGCTGGAAAACCAATCCATGTGTTGGGCAATTCCTGCACGTGCGCGAGCGCGGAGGTGCCACACAATGTGTGCAAGGTGGATGGGAGCGCATGCCTTGCAAACGGCAGCGAAGGGTTGCATCTGCACATGGAGGTCATGAAGTTGATGAGTAGCTGCCAGTTCGAATCCCTCAAGCTTTTTGAGCAGGCTGCTCAAGCTATCCGAGGAAAAGGGCCTAGACAGGAGTCGATGGAGGACATTCTTCTCTTCCATGTGCAAAAGTATTACTTGATTGTATATATATATATTATGTATCTTATAATTATATCTATATCTATAATGAGAAAATATATCTATAAAGGGGATGAGATGTTCAGGAGCCTGGTCGAGACCATAGGTAGGATAAGGGGGACCCTTCAAAAGGGGAACCCCTTCTTAACCCTCTTCTGGCTCTCTTTCTAACAGGGACCTTATTCAGAGGGTCTATATCCCCAAGGGTCCCCCTAGTCCTACTCCCTACTTGGTTTTGGCACTGTCTTGGAAAAGCTACTCCTGCCTTCGACTTTTGGAGGACCAGCAGGAAATATGTCAGAAAGCCCTGGAGGCCTTGTCCGAAATGGTTGCAATCTACGACCAGACGTCACTGAGTGACAATGTCAGTGCTAAAGTCACGAGGGCCCTTGGCTTTTGGAACGAATGGAAAGCCAAACAAGCAGCAGGCGAGCGGCAGCAGGCTTTGTTGTCGAAGGCAGAAGAGCATCTTTGCCAGACGTTGACGCACGACAGCAAGTGTGGCTACCTGGAGGAGTTTGCCAATGATGGCATCAAACTCTGCAGGATTCAACTTGAGAATCAGCTTCTGAGCAAGATGACGGCATCTATCAGCTAGCAGCCCGGTTCGGGTCATGAAAAGTCACCCGAAGCTTGCCTCCGGCACCACTTGAAAATAGTCAGAGACAAGGGCTTGGATCGCTGCAGCGAGCGAAACAGCATGCTTCTCTTGCGCACCCTGATCCAGGCTTGCCAGCTTCGACCTTGGCCAGGTTGCAACTACAGCTCGCTGCTGACAGGCCAGATTGCACCAGCAGCCTTGTTGTTCCACCATTACCTGGCGCGGTTCGGGTCCAGCAACGCCATGCTCGCGGAAGAGACTCAGGTTCTCATGAAGAGACACGTGGGATGTCAGGTGGTGCTGTTCTTGGGCACGCGCAGCGTGTGTAGTTTGGTGCCCTTCATGTGGTACGCCCCTTCTCTTCATTAAGTTCGATGAAATTGGGCCGTGACAGCATGTGGCATTGGTAGTCGGCATGTTGCGTGTATCCAGAGGGAGGTCTGCCACCCCGGCATTCCCTGATCACCTGAGTAGCATCGAAGCAGATCCGCAGTGGCCCAGAGCCCTTCCATCCGTGCAGTTTGTGGATGAACTGGGTTCAGCCGCTTTGAACTCTAAACCCTGAACCCTCAGCCCAAAGGGAAATTGTGTCAGCACTTGTCTTTTTCGGTTTGGGCCTTGGCAGGGACTTCTCTTTAAGGGTAGGTATGTGGGCCCTTAATATGGCCCGTAATATGGTCCCTTACCTTCCTTAAAGGGTTCTGATGTATGGGATTTTGGGTTGTGTGGGGTATATAAGGGGTTTTTAAGGGGCCCCCTTTTAAGGCCCCATACTACGAGACCATGTAACTACCCTAAGAAGCTCATCTTACATGTCCACTTGATTTGAGGGGGCATCCTCCTCGTTTAGAGGTTGGCCTAGCATTTTGTGGAAGGAATTGGATACTCTTATGAATTGACCTGATGTTTGAGAACTATCCTTGTGTATTATGGACATCAATGGTAGAACCCCCTCGTTGACACCGTGCTTATAGGATACCCCAAAGCCCTGGCGCGCTGGTGTCAGCTATGAGGGGGGCAAGAACCCTAGATACAGCCTTAACATCCCGAAGCCCCAGGCCAAACCCCAAACCTAAGCCCCCAATGTTGAAGAGCTCTGAGCCCTCAACTTGGGATGCTCCCCCTTATACTAACAGCCCTTCATAGGGATTCTAGTAAGACCCCTTTTAAAGGACTGCTAGTATAAGGGGGATTCTAGTACCCCTATATTAACAAATCTTAAGGGCTGTTAGGATAAGGGGGGAGCATCCCAAGCCCTCAGCCCTAAGCTCCCTTGGGCGCCATCCTTGCAGGCCTTGACATCCCGCCCGTCATAGCGGCCACGCGGGCGACGTACCAAAGGGCCCTGGACATGGGCCTCGGCGGGGAGCACAAAGGAGCTGGCGAATAATCGGGGGTGGGAAGAATTACGAACAGTATCCCCTTATGGTCCCTGGTATAGTTCGACTACAGCAACCCCCGAAACCCTATTCTAATTGTTCAGGCCCCTATATTTCTTTGTTTGTAAATACTGGGGGGCTTAGTGGAAGTGATGGGCCCTTTTTTGGGCGCCCTAAAACGAAGACAAACATACTTCTCCTCGAATACACCCGCAGAAGGGTCCATAAATTCAAACAAACCCACAAACGGCATCGAGTTGAGGGATGTGGAGAAGATTCTGCGAAAACGGCGTGTGGCAGTTCTGCGCAGGAGCCATGGTGAAGGTCTGGGAGGAGCACCTGGGTGTGGTTTGTTCTGGGGCGGACACGAAGCCAAAGTGAGTGCTTCGGTTGTGTGGCGGATGTAGCCGCCATGACATCACGTGGGGGAACTGTGCCCACAGAATCTCCTGGGTCAACTTACGCATCCCTTCTGGGATCGGAAGCGCCCGGTTTGTACAGAGAGCCCAAAATGCGGATGGCGGAGCTGGGCGGCGCGTCGCTGCACAAGCCGCGACGCGACGCTGTTGCGCAAAGGCCTAAGAGCGTGTAAAGTGTGCAGTGCTTTTTAGCTGGCCAAACTCTTCTCAAGCCTGAAGAGTCTTGTGATCGCAAGCTGCTGCTGCTGACAAAAAGGGCGAATCCCCCGCACCTTCTGTGGTTCGCCGCTTGGCTCTCCTGATGGTAGGCTTTCGGAAGCTTTTTTCGCCAATTGCTGGTCGGCCATCAACGGATACATGGCACGACGCTTTCATCCCACCTGTCGTGTTCCAACAGCGCAAGTCCGCCACCACCACAGTCGTACGCCACGTTTGTGTATGATTTCGGCTGCTATGCTTGCAATCGCCAAGTTGCAAGTTCCACGTGCAAACCCCGGACATATCCGAACATGAGCATGCCCGTACAGCTTCATTAGCCATTCGTCCATGTAAGCAAGCATGCAAAATCGTTGGTGTCCATCATGGTCCTAGATCGCGGGTGGTAGCCAGACTGGAGGCCCATCTTCTGTGGGATTGCGCGGCTATTGGATTGACCAGTGGAGATGTGCACATGGCTGTAGGGCTGTAGATGCTAAGGAGCTGTCGAAGTTGTGAGCCGACGTACTTGTGCGAGAGATTGCATCTTGCCAACAATGTCGTTTGAGGCCATGCTGTGTCCTCCGTGGCGGCCGACATTTGCTAGACATGCGGTGGCACCGGCTCGGTCGTGGGAGCAAATTTGCCGAAATTCTAGAACCTTGTGTCGACGGTTCTCACAGGGGTTTCAGATGGCCTCAGATACAGGATTGCCCTTGGAGTAATTCGCTAAGAAGCAAGCAAAACAATCTGCGGTCCGGGGGCGTATGGGCATTCGCATTAGGGATGCCCCGAATACGCCCCCCGCAACTCGATAATCCTTCTTGCACCCCCGATCACACACACACACACACACACCAATATTCAAGAAGCAACCATGTATACACTCACCAACAGAAATGTAATATACATATACATATATCTCTCTCTATATATGTATAGATTTATACATATATATATAAATATTTATGTTTATATTTCTCTTTTAAACTGAGCTGACGTGTTTTTCATGCGGACATCGGACAAGAGCCAGGTGGGTCCGACGGCCTGCCGCAGCGGCCCCGAACTGCCGGAGGCCAGCCCAAGAAGCGCCAAGAAGGTCTTTAGGCTTTAGGGTTTTAGGGTTTAGGGTTTTGGGGTTTAGGGTTTAGGGTTTAGGGTTTTAGGGTTTGGGGTTTAGGGTTTTGGGGTTTTTGGGGTTTAGGGTTTAGGGTTTTAGGGTTTTAGGGTTTTAGGGTTTTAGGGTTTTAGGGTTACTTTGCAAGCCAGTTGCAAAAGGGTTTTAGGGTTTAGGGTTTTAGGGTTTAGGGTTTAGGGTTTAGGGTGTAGGGTTTAGGGTTTAGGGTTAACATTCCGATCCAGAGAAAGGGGTTCTTTAGGGTGCCCCCCCCCAAGTGCAGAAACAGGGTTTAGGGTGGTTTAGGTTTTAGGGTCTAAGGTTCCGATGCAAAGAAAGGGTTTGAGGGTTTAAGGTTGCGGGTGGTGTCAGCATGCTTACCCGGCAGACTTCAGAGGCCTGGATGTAAAAGGGTTTCGGGTGGTTTAGGGTGGGTTTCAGCCTTTTGGGTTTAAGGTTCCGATGCAGAAAAGGGTTCTAGGGCTTAGGGTGGTTTAGGGTGTTTTTTTTTCCTTCCTTTGCTGCACCGTACGGCAGGGGCCTTCTCGCGGCATTCGGGAAGCCCCGGGTTCAAAAAGGGCGGTTTCGGGTTCCGCGTGCTTGGTCGTTAATTAGGCTGACAACCTTGAGCCAGCGTGCAAGAATTCAGAATGACAACGGAACCCACGTCGCTCCGATCCTGCAGGGCGCCTTTCTAGTCGGCACAAGTGAAACACGCAGCTCACACATGTGGTGTGGTGGTCTCCCTCATGTGGTGCAGGCGGCCACTTCTCTTCGCGATTTCTTGCTGAGCCTTCCGGCGCGACGAGTCCTACGGGCGGGGACCCCAGGGATCAGGAATCAGAATTGCTCAAGAAGGCTGCAAAGTGCTCCGAAGAGCAATGCTTTTTCACCCCGTTCTGAAGAGTGCCCTTTAGAAGAACGAACCTTTAAGTTTTGGATGGTTCTCCACGTGCCGAAACAAGCCTACCGGAATGTAAGCATGTAGTCGTACATCAAAGAATCAAGAGTTTACACATCGTAACCCTGAATCCTAAACCCTAAACCCTAAAATCCCCAACCGCTTAGTTTCTGAACAACGTCGTAAAGTTGGGCTCTAAAGTGCAGTGTGCAAAGCTTTCTCTTTGAGTTGCTCCGTGGAGCTTAGCAAGACGGGTGGCAAAAAACCCAAAAACCCTACACCGTAAACCCTAAATGAAACGGTGGAACAAGGCTTGCGTGGCCCAAGCGGCAAGCCTTCGCCGGCCTTCTAAGGGCAGAGAGGGCTTGTTGAAAGCACGGCCTCGCAAAGCAAAGGCGTGATGACGCTGCAGCAAACGTGTACATGTCTGCACCCATCTTTGCACCTGCTGTGCCTCACGTTCCCGGCTTTGTCCTGGCACGTTCCAAAAAACAGGCCTCGCAGAGGGCAAATCGCATCACGACCCTGTTTGGGAAATGAGATCTTTGGGAACGGACATTAGGCGCTGAGGGCATCAAGATTTGGGGTTTAGGATGAGGTTTTGGGGTTTAAGTCGTTACTTTAGGTGGCTCGGGGAATTAGACCTGAAGCCCTTAAAGCCCAATAATTCCAACCCTACACCCTACACCCTACACCCTACACCCTACACCCTACACCCTACACCCTACACCCTACACCCTACACCCTACACCCTACACCCTACACCCTACACCCTACACCCTACACCCTACACCCTACACCCTACACCCTACACCCTACTACACCCTACACCCTACACCCTACCACTACACCCTACACCCTACACCCTACACCTACACCCTACAACCTACCCTACACCCTACACCCTACACCTACCCACCTACACCCTACACCCTACACCCTACACCCTACACCCTACACCCTACACCTAACACCTACACCACCCTACACCCTTACACCCTACACCCTACAACACCCTACACTCTACGCCCTACACCCTACACCCTACACCCTACACCCTACACCCTACACCCTACACCCTACACTCTACACCCTACACTCTACGCCCTACACCCTACACCCTACACCCTACACCCTACACCCTACACCCTACACCCTACACCCTACACCCTACACCCTAAGCCCCCTAGCGGTGCGGCCGGACTACTTTCCGGGTGGCAAAAAACCCTGAACCCCAGGGCTCCCAACAGCCCCTAAAGCCCCCTCAAGCCCCACAGCAGCCCCTAAAGCCCCACAGCAGCCTACTAAGGCCCTCCGAACACCCCTACGCCCCAGCTCGGAAGCCGCCACAGCCATAACACCATCAATGCTCTCATCATCACTCGGCTCATTTTCAATATCTACACTTGGCACACTTCCTTTTGCTGACAGCTTAAGACTATGTGGTGTTTTAAACAAATAAATAAACAAATAAATAAATATATAAATATAAATATAAATATGAATCTAAATATAAATATAATTATAAATATATAAATATAAATATAAGTATAACTATACATAAAAATATAAATATAAATATAAAATTAACAGGGAGGTCAATATTCGTCATGAAATCTCGAACAAGCTACAAGAGGTAAGACGCACTTGGATCAAATTAACCCCTTATTGGAAAGCAACCCATGCTAGCAAGAGGTGGAAACTAATAGTATATGATGCCATTATCCGCAGCAAACTACTCTACGGGCTAGAAACTATTCACTTAACCACTGCTATGGCAAAGAAGCTCAATGCGTTCCAAATGAGGGGCATTCGCAAGATTTTAAACAAAGCTCACACCTATATAGACCGTACAAATACTAATGCAAAGCTTCTGGAAGAAGCAAGTATGATAGCATTTCCAAGCCGGGACGACCAACGAAAGATACTACTATTTAGTAAGTTCCATAATTTACGACGGGCTAAGCTTTTAGGTCATATACTTCGTAGTACAGATTCTGATCCTTTAAGACAGGTATCGTTTATGCCCAGCAGTGCCACTAGAATCGAGTATGGCAAAAAGCGAGTTGGGAAGCCCCGGCAAACTTGGATACACCATGCAAAGAAGTTTGTGTGGGAAGAGACGCTTGGCAGAATATCTTATGAAGAAACCCCGGTACAAGATAATCTCATCTATAATGCAGGTTTGCAAAGACAGTTCTAAAGCGTCTGCAGAGGGTAAGCCTCCTTTTTGCTGCGCCAACGCCGTGTCTTGAAGTTGACGTACAGTCGATTCACGGTATGGCTTCGGAAAAAATAAAAATAAATATAAATATAAATATAAATATAGATATAGATATAGATATAAATATAGAAATAAAAAACACATAAATAAAATAAATAAATAAATATAAAGATAAATAAATAAATATATAAATAAATAAAAAAAATATATATATATATATATATATATATATATATATATAATGCCACCTCCAGGCACCGGCGCCGGTGCCGGAATCGCCGGCTTCGGGGCCCAGGCTCGTTGTTACTTTTTTCATGTACCTTCTTTTGCGGTTTTTCGGGGGTTTTAGTGGGCTTTTGGGTTTTTAGGGTTTAGGGGTTGTTAGGGGGTTATTGGGGGGTTTTAGGGTTTTAGGGTTTATGGGGTTTTTGGGTGTTTTAGGGGTTTAGGAGTTTAGGGGTTTTAGGGGTTTTGGGGGTTTTGGGGGCTTAGGGTGGGTGCTAGGGTTTTGGGTTTTAGGGTTGGGCCTCTGGATGCAAAAAGGGTTTTAGGGGTTTTAAGGGTTTGGGGTTTTGGGGTTTTGGGGTTTTGGGGTTTTGGGGTTTTGGGGTTTTGGGGTTTTGGGGGTTTTGGGGTTTTGGGGTTTTGGGGGGGGTTTGGGGGGGTTTGGGGGGGTTTAGGGGTCTAGGGTTTGTTCTTTACCGGGTTCTTAGGCGCTTGAGGGGTTTAGGTTCAGCTGGCGTTGCCCTCAGTCCATGCATCAAAGCAAGGGACCAAAAGTAGGAGGTTTTACTGTAAGAGCTTTAGGGTTCTAGGAGGTTGTAGCTTCGTGAGTATATTGAGCGGGGTTGCCTCCAGCATTGCAACAGGGGCTTTGGGGGTCAACAGCATTCACACGCCAGAGGTCATTGGGCCGTGGCGCTTTGTGGGTATTTCGGATGATGTGCGCCATATTGTAGTGTTCTTAAGCGTGACTTTGCATGGGCCAACCTTTGCCACGTTTAGCATCAGCTTACTGCACGAGAAATGGTTGCTCCCCAGCGCACGCAGTGTTGCTATCAGATGGTCAGCCTGGAGGCTTTGCGTCATGGCCATGGCTACTCTTTTTTGTGTGTCACCAGGAAGCCCTCCGTTGCTACTGGGGCATGTGTGGTGTCTTAGGTGAGGTTCACGGAATACCGCCTGCGAGCAGAAGTTACGGTAAACTTCCGGTCAACAACATGAGGCTTGGCATGTTTACAGCTCTTTAAGCCTCCGATCCTTCCACCGGTAGCTTGTGAGCAGTTGTGGTTCTGCCGATGCCGGGATCAAGTCCTTCGTTTCATCGACCCGAGGCCCATCCTTGCAAGTCTCCAGGGCCCCCAGACCGTCTTCTCCATAACAGCTTCCCAGGGCTGCTGTGAGCCCCAACTTCAGTAGTTTGAGCAAAACTTCGTGCATCAACTCACACGACTCCCCCCCCCCCCCCCCCCCCGCCCTTACTTTTTCTTGCCGGGCGCGCCTTCTTGGTGCCGCGGACGGCCATGGTCGCCATGGCATTGCTGGAGATGGCATCCCGCGTGTTGCTCGTGGCGGGGATGGGTGCGCTCCTTCCGAACCTCAAGGGAGGCAGCCTGACCAAGCCCCTCTTTGACTCGCAGGCGTGCCATGATGCCATTGCCTCCGGCGCCAGCTGCCAGGTGTGTGAAACCAAGTTCAAGCACTGCAAGGGCCACTATGTCTACGAGCCTTTCACCGTGGTGCTCTTTGAAGCAATGGTCACGGTGGGCCTCGGCGTTCTTGCCACGATAGTCTTAATGCCGAATCGGCAGGCCACCCGGCCATCACAGCAGCTGTGTTCTTTGCGTGTTACGATGCGCGTGTTGAATTGAGAGTAACCAGGGCCCCCCCTACACCTAGGCCCCCGCACCTATAGGCTCCTGGTCCTTGTGTTGCTTTTGCATGTGGCGCCTGGGTGGAAGTAAGGCAGTCAAGCAGCTGCTAGATTGGCGCTCCATCAAGATCGTCTTGCCTGTTGGGGCAACCTATGCCATCGGCGACTTGATGGACTTGGCAGCGGCGCGCAATGTCTCGGGCACGACGCTGTTGGTAGCTGCGCAGTTGAGGCTGCCACTTTGCGCCTTGCTTAGATGCTTGCTGCTGAACCGCGGGCAAACTTGGATGCAATGGCGGCTCGGCCTGTGCTGTGCCGTTATGAGACAAGACGAATGCTTGCTTAAGAGGATAAGTTTGTGTTCATTCAGCATGCATAGTGCACAACCCGCGAGCTCGTGAGGCAGCTGCTCTTCATCATCACGCTGCTGTGCGTGGGCCACGTGGTCCAAGACCTGGGGGACACCATGACTGCCGGAGTTGACAGGTCTTGGATCGCAGCCTCTCCACAAGGGATCCTCGTCGCTTTGCCACTTGTGCTGGGCAAGTGCCTCATCAGCTGCTGTGGTGCAGTGCATGCCGAGTATTTCTTGCAGCACAAGGAGACGAAGCAAGTGCCCCTGTGGATCACACAGGCGCATTTCAAGACGGCGACGATCATGGGAGCCTTGGTCGTGGCGCTCCTCCTGGGCAACGTGAGCGAGCGCATCTTTGCGGACGAGTGGCACAACGATCTCTTCGCGCACTTTCCCAACGATGTGAAGGCAGGAGATGCCCGCATGCCTTTCTTTGGTGGCTGGGACAGCAACACCTGGGTCCTTGCGGCCTGCCTCATCCTCAACAACTTCCTTGTGGCTGACCAGATGAAGAACCTCACCTCCATTGCCAAGCAGCTTGGTGTTAATGAGCTGTGCAGACGGAGCCTTGTGGGCACGCATGCCCCGGTAGCTAGCCGCACGCCTCATCAAAGCCGTGCCATAGTAGTGATTCAGTGACCACCTGCTTCTCTTCTTATGACCCTAAACCTTAGCCTAAACCCTAAACCCTAAACCCTAAACCCTAAACCCTAAACCCTAAACCCTAAACCCTAAACCCTAAACCCTAAACCCTAAACCCTAAACCCTAAACCCTAAACCCTAAACCCTAAACCCTAAACCCTGCAGAACCCGCCGCAAGAGGTATGTGGCCTATGCCATCGGCTTGGTGCTTAGCTACCTCGCGCAGCTTTGGGAAGGCCGTGACTTTTGCCCTTGGCAGGCCCGGATCTCCAAAAGGCTTTGCGTTTTTAGTTTTGATGTTCGGGGCGGGGCTTACACGCGCTGCACCCTAAACCCTAAACCCTAAACCCTAAACCCTAAACCCTAAACCCTAAACCCTAAACCCTAAACCCTAAAGCCGAACCCCCAAACCCTGAGACCAAGGCGTGCTCTTATGCTGGCCTCGCGCTTGCCGCTGTGGCACCACGGCTGCTGAGGGGTTCGTTGAGTTTCGGGTTTAGGGTCTAGGGTTTAGGGGCTGGCAGGTACCGGCATGGCTTTCAGACCGGGTTCACAGGGTTTAGGGGCTGAAAGGCCCAAAACCCTAAATCTCAAACCTTGCTAAAACCCTGAATCCGAAACCCGCCTAAAACTGCAGCTGCCTGCTTGGTGGACCTTCGTAATCTCTTGAGAGCGAGAACTCTGGTCACCTCAGCCAGGGTCGTTGTGTAGTGCTGATCCTCTGCAGGAGTTGTGATCTCATGTAGTGAATCGGACTTTGGCCGTTACGAAAATTGTCCTAAACTCGAAACCTAAACCCTAAATCCTAAACCCTAAACCCTAAACCCTAAACCCTAAACCCTAAACCCTAAACCCTAAACCCTAAATGAACCCTAAACCCTAAACCCTCAACCCTAAACCGCTGAGGTCGTTCCGTCTCAGGTCCCTTCGGGGACTGGAGTAGACACTATGAATCCTCATGTCTTATACGAGAATAGGGGACCCTGAAAGGTAGGTTTCCCTTATAGTAATGGCCCCAATAAGGTACCCCCAGATCTCAGGAACCCCCAAATCTTTTTACCAGTATCACACATGCACCTCTCTGTATATAATATATATGTTTATGCGCACATGCTAGGAAGGTACAGGTTGGCAGTATGTACATATACTGTATATATCTCTACATATGTGTCCTGTCTCTATTGGCTTAGATTAGCTTAGCTTAGCTTAGCTTAGCTTCGCAAAGCTGCTTTGCTTTGCTTTGCTTTGCTTTGCCTTCCCTTGCCTTGCCTTGCCTTGAGGCCTACATTGCCCTGCCTGGACCCGGGGACTTCCGCCCGGGAGGAAAGAGCTGAGTGCGAATTCGGATTGGCTCAGGAGCCGTGTGAGTGCGCAGGAGCTGGAGCTCGGCTTGGATGTTTGTATTTGGGTCTTCCTCCGTCGTGCACTTGCTTGTGGCACCTTCAACAGTTTAAGTGATCCGGGTTCAGGCCGAGCTGTCGCCTGCAATAGTGGCAATAGTGGCTGTCGCAGGCCTGTGCGCGAAGTCCTGCAGCTCTCGGGTCCAGCCTTCAACATCTTCCAGATCCCTACCCTGCATTACCCCCCTCCCCCCTCCCCGTAATTTTTCACTAGGATGAGGGGGGGTGGTGGGGGGTACCTACTTGCGGGCAATCATTTTTGCATTTTCCAGCGCGTTCCGGCCGGGGGGGAGGCATGCACATATATGGGTTTTGTTGCTCAGTTGAGGGCAAAGTAGATGGCCTGAAACTTGGATTCTGCGAACCCAGCGTGCCTCCCCCGCGCCCACTAGACAAAGGGATGATCTCTGCATCCTCAAGAAAGGTGGACGAGGAGGGCCTAACCCTGACCCCAGACCCTGGTCACAAGGATTCAGACTTCTCCCTAAACCCTAAACCCTAAACCCCTAAACCGTTGCACAGGATGCGTACGGCAAGTGGGGGTTTCCCTCATCATGGTCTTTTTGGGGTTCTTGTTCTTATGCGAGCCTTAGAAGGGCACCCAAAGGAAGCACGGGTCACACCTTAGACCCTAAACCCTAAACCCTAAACCCTAAACCCTAAACCCTAAACCCTAAACCCTAAACCCTAAACCCTAAACCCTAAAACCCTAAAACCCTAAACCCTAAACCCTCAACCCTAAACCCTAAACCCCAAACCCCAAACCCTCAACCCTAAACCCCAACAGAAGCAGCATGGATCCACCTTTTACAGGCCTTGCTTGGCTTGGCTCTTGTAAAGCCAGGGAGGGAGCTTGAAAGTCGTCACTCCTTGTGATCCCAGGGTTCACTGGCCAAGTCCCGCGCGCGCTGAGCTCCGGGTGTTTCATGCTAGGGACCCTGGGGACCCTAGAGTTTGGGGTTTAGGGTTTAGGGTTTAGGGTTTAAGGTTTAGGGTTTAGGGTTTAGGGTTTAGCGTTTAGTGTTTAGGGTTTAAGCCCTCCCAAGATCAGCCCGAAGCCCTTCCGCAGGAAGGCTGGAGGTCGCAACATCCGGAGAAGCACCCGTGCACTGCATCGTTGGATGCACTGTGGCGCAGCCTTAGAAACTTTGCTGTCGGCCAAGATCGCCGCCTGTCGAGCTCGCTGGAAAGAGAGAGGCTTTGGGTCATCCAGAGTCTCCAAAGATCCCGAGAGTTGTTTAAGGTGCCACCGGGTCTTCTGGTTGTAGATGCCATGTGTGTGTGTGTGTGTGACATTTCGCGGGTGATGTCTTTGGAACCTGCAATTATACGCTCCAAGGCATTCGGGTGGTCCTGCCATAGCAAGCCGCATCAGCCCGAAGCCCTCAATCTGCCAACTCCCAGCCCTACACCCAGGGAACGGCCAAGTGTTCCAGGTTGGCAGAAAAACGAGTCCCAAACCCTGCGTGTGGCCATGCAGGCCCTGAATGCTGAATCCCGAGCCCCATTGCCAAGCAAACCCTAAAGCCTAAGACCTAAATCGTGTGTGTGAAGTCGCCCCAGCTGTGCAGGAGGGAAAACAGAAACCCTACCTAACCCTAAACCCTACACCCTACACCCTAACCCTAAACCCTAACCCTAAACCTTAAACCTAAACCCTCCCCTCAACACAAGTGCACTGGGGGATATATCCGTCAACCGGCAGGCCTGAAGAGAACGGAAGAGCTTTCACCGAGGATAGAGCAAAAGGGGACAGTAGCGAGAGGCATGCCTGGGTGCAAGAATGGGTTTACTCTGTGGGGGTGTGATGTTAGTTTAAGGGCTAAGCCCTAAACCCTAAACCCTAAACCCTAAACCCTAAACCCTAAACCATAAACCCTAAACCCTAAACCGAATGTGATCCAGGGGAAGCCAATGAAGCAGCCTAGCCAGCACATGCAACAGAAACGCCGTTAACATCGATGTCGTTGCATCACCTCAGACCAGGAACCTGGCCTTGTGCGAGTGTTTAGGGTTTAGGGTTTAGGGTTTAGGGTCGAAACCCTCCCCTGGACAGGGCCCCCGCGGCGCCGGCAGCGTTCCCGGCCCCGGCGCTGCGTGGTGGGAGGGCTGCCAGGAGGGACTGCAGGGGCAAAGCTGTCTGGGGTTTAGTGTTTAGGGTTCATAGGGTTTAGGGTTTAGGGTTTAGGGTTTAGGGTTGAGGGTTTAGGGTTTAGGGTTAGGGTTTAGGGCTTAGTGTTTAGGGTTCATAGGGTTTAGGGGATAGGGTTAAACCCTAAACCCTAAACCCTAAACCCTAAACCCTAAACGCTTGCGAAATGGGTGGGAAAAAAACCCTAAACCCTTAACCCTTAACCCTTAACCCTTTACCCTTTACCCTTTACCCTAACCCTGTTGTTCCCTCCTCCATGAAGGCGCAGCCCGCGACCCAGGCGAGGGATGAGGTCAGCCCCTGCCAGCTGTTGGAGCACCCGCGGGTCTTCCAAACTAGGGTTTAGGGTTTAGGGTTTGGGGTTTAGGGTTTAGGGTTTAGGCCTTAGTGCTTGGGGTGTAGTTTATTCGGTGCTTGGGGTCTAGGGTTTAGGATTTGGGAGGGTGTTCCGACTTTCCGCGGTTTCCTCAAAGCTGGTGCCAAATAAACTTGATGAGAAGAATCAGGGTATCGCCGAGATTGATCCTTTGGATGCCAGACGGATGCCAAGCACTCGGCACCCGACACCTGCAGGCGTTTGAAGCTCACGGCTTGGCTGCGCCAGACTTACTGTTGCTTAGTAGGGAATGAGGGAATGAGGTACCGTTTATAATCTCTTAAAGGGTATATATATATATATCTATATATATATATATCTGTATATACAGGGGGATACAGGGTACCTCATTCCGTCATTCCCTACCAAACCAACAGTAAGAAGAGGTAGTGGAGCATGACAGCCATAACCGACGTCAAATCACAGCAACAGCCAAGGCAACTTGGAGGTTGATAGGGTGCTTTAGGGTTTAGGGTTTAGGGTTTAGGGTTTAGGGTGTAGCTTGAGCTGGTTTTGCAAGTGGGACAAGTCTAGACTCTAGTTGTAGCCCTGTTTTTTGCACTTCTAACCCCCCCTAATCCCCCAAGCGCACCTTTTAGGACCAACGCCCAAACCTCAGACCCGAATCCCTAAGCTGAGTTCGGCCCAGCAGGGTCAACAAAAGCCACCCTCAACCCTTCAATCCGAAAACCCTGAGGTCGAAACAGCACACAAAAACTGCCCGAAATCCCTAAACGCCTGGACTTGAGAAGAGATCGATGTAAGTACTCCCTTTCGGCTCCTGCGCGGCTCTTCTTGAGGGACTGTCCCGGCCTCAGTCGGCGTGGACGCATAGGAAGGACCCCTTGATCCGTACTGCAAAGGCCATTCTTTCCCGAATGCGCGGCAGAAGGGATCCTGTTCTAAAGGGTGGGGAACACGGGATTTAGGAGGTGATCAAACATCGTGCGTTTGTGTTCGCGAAGCGTCTCCGCGAAGCGTCTCCGCGAAGCGTCTCCGCGAAGCGTCTCCGCGAAGCATCTCCGCGAGTGGCGAAGGAGCTGTATTTGATGAGGTGCCCGGGGTTCGGCATCCTCGTTACTGTCGTGACTCTTGGAGCCTCGTTTTCCCGAATACGTAGCAGAAGGGTTCCTGTTTATCAGCAGGGTCCAGGGGCTGAACCAAAAAGGGTTGCGTTTGTGCTGGAACCCTGCGTCTTGGGCATCGGTTAGGGTTGTGTATGAAATAACAAGTGTTGACAGTAACGTGGATGAGGCATCCGGGGTTCGCCATAATCGTGACTGTCGTCACTTTTCATATTTCATATTGCAAGGAGCGACGCATGCACGCAAAGCACAGCTGTGGAGTTGACAGAGGACAGGGATGAGATGAGGGACAGCGACGACAGGACAAGAGAACACTTACATGAAGATCATGAAGAGAGAACAACGGAGACAAGAGATGAGCGAATACCCTAAACCCTACACCCAAAAACCCTGAACATAAAACCTAAACCCTAAACCCTCGTCAGAGCCTTCAGTTCGGAGTTCGTCGCGTTGCGTCTGTTATCTTCGCGGTGTACGTGACATGTGTCTGCATTCGGGTTCGTGGCTATCAGGTTTGTTTTTGAGGGATTTTTGGGCTTCCTGAGGGGTTAATTGGCTGAGGGTTCTGCGGACTTTGGTTTTGGTTTGGGGTTGAGGGCTTGAGGGTGTGGGTTATCCGGGCGGTGGGAAGCCTGTTGCAACAGGACTTTAGGATAGGATCCACCTTCCGAGCAGGTGGTCGGACCCACTGGATATACCGCCAAGCCAAAAGCATCGAAATTTAAGCCAAGCCCCCGCCTATGCGATGGGCACTCAACCAGATTGTGCTCAACCTTAACCTTCCAGACCGTACCTTTGCATTTTGTAAGGTCTTTGTACACAAGCCTGCCCTACTGCAGGTAGCAAGTTTCTTTTTCTTTTTCTTTTTCTTTTGGCCCTACAAGAAAGGTAGGTCTTGGAAGGATCCGGGGGGCCCGAAGTCCGGGACCCGAACTCGAGGCCGCGTGCGGCCATGGGGGCGGGTGCGAGCCTTCCCCAAAATGGAGGCCAATGTGGTGTAGGGTTGAGGGTTGAGGGTTTAGGGTTTAGGGTTTAGGGTTTAGGGTTTAGGGTTTAGGGCTGCGGGGAGCAAAAGAAGCTTTGTGGTACCTCTTGGTAGGTTCTGGGCTCCTTTGTTGTGGAGAGTGCCATTGGTTTAGGAGAGGGTTTGGGGATGACTCTACCCTAAAACCCTAAACCCTAAAACCCTAAAACCCTAAACCCTAAACCCTAAACCCTAAACCCTAAACCCTAAACCCTAAACCCTAAACCCTAAACCCTAAACCCTAAACCCTAAACCCTAAACCCTGACTTTTGGCTGCCAGTTCCCTGCAGTGTGTCCGAGAAGTCAGCGAGGCAGGTGGCAAAAGCAACCCTTTAGCCGGGCTCAAAGAACAAACCGCGTTCCTAAGCGTTGTGGCGGCCATGGTGCGAGACCAGTCTGTGCTGACGCAGCACAAGTTTGCCGTGACAGGTGTTTTATTGCTTGGCGTCACAGTGCTGCTGGATGCCGCCCGCAGGTTTCGCTCCAGGAGAAAGCCTGGTGATTCGATCCCTTGCCTGCCAGGTGCGTGGCCAATCGTGGGCCACTTCTTCACCCTCAGGCGATATTGCCGAGAGAACGCAAACTTGGCGATGGGACGGTGGGCTGTGGACGTGGCAAGAACGCAAGGCTTGCCGATTTTCAGAGCCGCCCTCATGGGCTTTGACTTGGTCTGGGTTTCCGATCCGGATCTAACAGAGGAGATCTTTCAGGGGGACCCGCACAGGTACACCAAGGATTTCTCGCAGATGCCACTAGGTGGAGACCTGTTCGAGTTTTCCTTCGGAAACGGTATGTTCTTTGCCGCGACCGGCGATGCAAAGTGGGAGATCCCGCACAGGATCCTCAAGACGCCCTTCTCTGTCCGAGGCATACGTGCTATCATGCCGATGATGCGCGAGCAAGCAGACAAGCTAGTCGCAGCCTTGAAGCGTGACGTCGGCCATGGTGGAAGCACGTACATCGATGCGTGGGTGACGAAGATGGCCTTCGAAACGATCGCAGTTTGTGGGCTGGGCACGTCCTTCGGGTGCTTCGAAGATGACCAGACGCACCCGTTCATCGATGCGCTCAACGAGACGATTCTTGGTAGCCCAGTGGTGCCCTTTTCTTTGTTATGGTTTCCCCTTTAAAGTAACCAACCCCATAAAAGGGTGCCCTGACTAAAATATGGTTACTGGATCTTAAACCCTAAACCCTAAACCCTAAACCCCAAACCCCTAAACCCTAAACCCTAAACCCTAAACCCTAAACCCTAAATGTTGCTGGGCTACCAAGGGTTGCAGCCTTGGATCCTTTGGGCCGGTGCCCGGCCATCCTCAGGCCATTGCTTTGTCGTGATCTCATGAACAAGTGCCTCTGTATCCCCCTTGAGAATGATTTTATTTATTGTTTATATAAAACTCAAGAGGATATAAAAAAACTATTATTCTTTGTTAAGGTTCTCAGGGGAGAATAGGTACTTTGCTTCGTCCAAAAGCATCCGTGACACTTGCCGTGATGTGATTCGGCAGCGTCGTGGAGCAGGCAGCGTTCGCGAGAGCCGGAAGGACCTTCTTGACATGATGCTGAATGATGTGGATGCAAAGACAGGTCAGAGCATGACTGAGGACATGATTGTCGACAACGTGCTCACTTTTCTGTTCGCTGGTCAAGACTCCACCGCAGCGGCTATGGGCTCGTGCCTTTGCTTCTTGTGCTCTTTCCCGGAGTGCAAGGAGCGACTCATCAAGGAGATCGACGAGGTGGTTGGCAATGGCCAGTTGGAGTGGGACCATCTGGGAAAGTTGCAGTATCTGGATTGGTGCCTGAAGGAGACACTCCGCCTGGCACCTCCAGCGCCCATCATCTTGCGGCAGTCAACTCAAGCTGCCGAAGAGCAGCTTCTGGGAGGAAGGTGGCGGATGCCTGCGCAGATGCCGGTGCTCATCAACGTCATGGCCCTGCACTACAGTCAAGCGCTCTGGGGAGCTGATGCTGCAGAATTCCGCCCCGAGCGCTGGGAGCATGGCCAGCCGCACAAGTTTGCGTACATGCCGTTTGCTACGGGTCCGCGCCAGTGCATCGGCAGAGAGTTCACGCTGGTGGAACAGAAAGTCACCATGGTCAAGTTCTTCCAGAACTTCGACCTTCGCCCAGCAGACACCACGCAGGTTGAAGAAGGCTACGTGCTCGTGGACCACGAGAGTGCCAAGCATCCTCCCTTCCTTACAATTGACACGCAAGTCAAGAAGGACAACGGCGCCTTCTTGGGCTTCTTCAGCACCTTCCAGCTGCTGGAGCGAGGGCAGGAAGGCGGTCCTGCATTTTGACGGCCCAATATTATGAAGGTGTGGCTTGGGATTGGGTTTAGGGTTTAGGGTTTAGGGTTTAGGGTTTAGGGTTTAGGGTTTAGGGTTTAGGGTTTAGGGTTTAGGGTTTAGGGTTTAGGGTTTAGGTTTATGGTTTAGGGTTTAGGGTTTAGGGTTTAGGGTTTAGGGTTTAGGGTTTAGGGTTTAGGGTTTAGGGTTTAGGGTTTAGGGTTTAGGGTTTAGGGTTTAGGGCAGTGGAGCCACTCATCATCGGGGCACCTCACCTCTCACGCTCCGCTTGCAAGTGCTGCCGGATTGGTGTCACCGCAGGTAAGTGGGCAGGGGGGAGGGGAGGGGCGATGATTCGAAGTCTCAGGCATGCAGGCTGACGAGGGACCGGCAGCTACACACTCTGCTGACGTGTTTTACCAGCAGGTGAGGCTGCGTTTGCAAGAAATTAGTCCAATTTGATGGCCCGTCACAAGAGCTTGCAGGCCTTTTCAAGAGTTCAAGCGCATTTAACAGCTACAGCTAGGTCTCCTCTGACGGGTGGTACAGTGCTTCAGATGCCCATGTCAAAACCCTAGCCCTAAACCCGAAACCCGAAACCCTGAACCCTGAACCCTGAACCCTAAACCCTGAACCCTAAACCCTAAACCCTAAACCCTAAACCCTGAACCCTGAACCCTGAACCCTGAACCCTGAACCCCGGGCAGGTGACCCTGCCTGGTTCATGGCCCTCATCGATTCGGAGCGGCGCGAGCAGCTGGGTGCCAGGGGTGGGTTCCGGGCTTATTTCTTAGGGTTTAAAGCTAATTTAGGGTTTAGGGCTTAGGGTTCGGAGTCTGGGTTCAAAACAGGGTTTATACAAAAGGGTTATGGGCTTAGGTTTGCTGAAGTCGCGCCTACTATAGGGAACAAGGGAATAGGGGTGCCTCGTATCCCTTAAGTAACCCTTTAAAAGGACTACACAGGTTCCCACTTCCTTTCAAGGGCTTCAGGGAAGAGGCCCTGAGGACCTAGGAGGATATGTGCTTGCAGCTCAGGAAGCAGTGGCTGGCCCAGCAGTACGACTCCAAGTGCGAGGAAGCCCGCGCTTTGCAGCCCTCCAGCCGCATGGGGTTTCAGGGTTTGGAGTTCAGGGCCTCTGGCCCGAAGCCCTAAGCCCTAAGCCCTAAACCCCCAAAAGCCCCCAAAGACCCTGTGCGAAGCTAAGCCTATGAAACCCCTTTCAGGGTTTTAGAGAGAGAGGGTTTAAGGTTTAGGGTTTAGGGTTCAGGGTTTAGGGTTTAGGGTTTAGGGTTCAGGGTTTCGGGTTCAGGGTTTAGGGCCAGAAGCCCTGAACGCAAGCTCGCGAGCTTGGATCCCAAGCCCACGAACCAGCGAGCTTGAAACTCTTAAGTCCCCACCCTAAGTCCTGATAGGCCCCCACCCTGCAAGCCCAAAGCCCTAAACCTGGCTGGCACACAGAAAGCAAGCCCTGAAACCTTAACCCTAAACCCTAAACCCCAAACCCCAAACCCCAAAGGCCTAATTAAACCCTAAACCCTAAACCCCCAACCCTAAGCCCTAAACCCTAAACCCCAAACCCCAAACCCTAAACCCTAAATCCCAGAACATAGAGGCAAGAGCTGGAGCGGCTGCGGCGAAACCTCGTGGGCTTGCCGCCCGAAAGCCCTGAGCCAGCGAAACAAAGTCGTCCGGTGACTCGGCCGGAGGGTTTAGGGTTTAGGGTTTAGGGGTTGGGGTTTAGGGTTTAGGGTTTAGGGTTTAGGGTTTCAGGGTTTAGGGTTTAGGGTTGGGGGGCTGCCGTTTTGGGGGTTTGGGGGCTTGGGGTTTAGGGTTTAGTTAGGGGTTTGGGGTTTAGGGGTGATATTGGGCTTTGGGGTTAAGAGGCTCGGGGTTTGTTTGAGGTTCGAGGTCTGGGTTTGAGGTTTCAGGGTTTGGGGTCTAGAGCGTTTGGGGCTTACGGTTTTGGGGTTCAGCTTTTGGGGTTTGGAATTATTTGGGGTTTGTAGTGGTTTGGGGCTTACGGTTTGGGGTTTGTAGAGGTTTCGGGTCAAGGGTTTGGGTTTATATGGTTTGGGGTTATATACTTCGGGGTCCAAGGTAAAGTCCGTCTTGTGAAAGCATGTGGAGGTTGAGGGTGGGCTGTAAAGACCAAGATAGGGTTTAGGGTTTTCGGGTGCCCCAGCGAGTCGCAGTCCAGTCCCCTGAACCCTAAATCCTAACCCCTAAACCCTAAACCCTAAACCCTAAAGCCCTAAACCCCTGTTCAAAAAGGGTGTAGGTGCTTAGCGGCAAGCCTAGAAGGGGTTTAGGGTCTAGGAGGTCCTGCAAGAATCTACCCAGGAGTTTCTGCAGCCTGGACTTCAGCTGCTCAGCAGAACGTAGCACGGGTGTGTGGTTTGCGAGTCTGGGTTCGTGGTTTGGGTGGCCCTGAGCCCGAATTTGAGACCACGTCTCCCCTTAACCCCTCAACCTCAAGAGGCAGTACTTCAGCGGTCCTCAGCTTCTAGGGTTTAGGGTTTAGGGTTTGGGGTTTGGGGTTTCTGCCTGCCATCGCCTTCAGGGGACGGTCGCTTTGGTCGGCACAACAAACGAAGCTGTGCAAGCTGTAGAACTTGCAGGCTAGTGAAGCAGGGCCTTCTTAGGGTGAACGGCTTTGTGTGGAAGCAGGGTGCTTCACAGGCTTTAGAGGAAGCACACCAGGCATCGGTATGGCAGCCAACCCGCAGCCGCAGAAGATGAGAGAACTCGTTGGTTTTATCCCTGATACTCTGATGTTGGCGAGGCATCCCTTATACTAAACCCTAAACCCTAACCCCCCCTAACCCCCCCTAACCCCCCCAAAGGGGCCAGAGTAGACAATCACTAGCCGGAAGAAGATGTCCAAGCCGAGGAGCCCTCTAAAGGTGGAACTTGCTCCAACCCACGGAGTGGCGCAGCCTTCCATACGGTCCCCCACCAAAGAAACACAGGGGTCGGTAAGTATTACGAAGAGTATTCCCTTGTGATCCCTATATAACTAAATCATACTACAATCACCCCCGAAACCCTATTCTGAGAGTTCTTGACCCTAAACCCTAAACCCTAAGCCCTAGACCTAAACCCTAACCCCCCCAAGGGGCTATCGTATCCCCTATATTAGCTCTCGGTCCGAATGGATTGCAGTCTCCAGAGGAGTCGGTCATGGTGCTTTGGCGTGTTCCTATAGGACTTGTTCGTTGAGTTGTCCCAGGCTTAGGGACTCTGTAGGTAATATAGGGGTCAATAAGGACAATAGTATTCCCTTATATATGGTCCCTTTATTACTGTACTCTCATAGCCCCCGAAACCCCGTAATTATTAAGGCCCCTATATTCACCTTTGACCTTAGGGACTGGGTAGGTAACCTTTAACCTTTTGTGTTATATAGAATCCTACTAGATAAAAGGTTAACCGTTTTTGGGTATTCTAAGCAGGGAGCCCAATATAGCCTCTATTTGAATGAACTTGAACAACCCAAAGCCTCCATTCTTGTGGGTTATTATGTGAGTAGGAATCCCCCAAGAGTCCGTCCATGGGGGCCTGTCATACGGGTGTGAACGGTTAAGGAAAGATTTATCCGAAGGGGGGTGGTCTTCTTGGAAGCTCTGGCAGGCCGGCGGTCGCAAACTGGCAGCTGCGGCCTGTCGAGGAGCCTGGCAAAAGGTCTGCCGTTGCCCTGAAGCCTCCTTCCTCGAGTTTAGGGTTTAGGGTTTAGGGTTTAGGGTTTAGGGCTCAGGGCCCGAAACCCTAAACCGTAGGAGAGAGAGATAGAGAGAGAGAGAGAGAGAGAAACGAGTCGTTTCACGATCAGAACTGAAAGTGAAACAGTGTGTACATGAGCAAGCGCGAACATCAAGGAGTGCGACATCAATCAAACTAACATGTCCCAACATCAGTTCAAGCCAACATGACCCTAAACCCTGAATCCCAAATCTCTGCAGCGGGTGGCAAAAAACAAGCCCTCCCAACCTTTGAAGCTTCCAGCACAGATGTGCGAGAATGTCTGTGGCGTATGGGATCCGGAGTTAGGGGCTTGGGGTGTGGTGTTATTGCTGCCCCAGGTTTGTGGAGTGAGCAGTCTTTTAGGGGTTTGGGGTGTAGGGTTTAGGTGCACCCTAAACCCTAAACCCTAAACCCTAAACCCTAAACCCTAAACCCTAAACCCTAAACCCTAAACCCTAAACCCTAAACCCTAAACCCTAAACCCTAAACCCTAAACCTAAACCCTAAACCCTAAACCCTAAACCCTAAACCCTAAACCCTAAACCCTAAACCCTAAACCCTAAACCCTAAACCCTAAACCCTAAACCCTAAACCCTAAACCCTAAACCCTCTTTCATATATAATTTAAATGTTAAGGAGTTACTGGGCATGGTCATCTTTTTACTGGGCCAGGTCATCTTTTTACTGGGCAAGGTCATCTTTTTACTGGGCACGGTCATTCTTTTACTGGGCAAGGTCATTCTTTTACTGGGCAAGGTCATTTTTTTTACTGGGCAAGGCTATTACTGGGCAAGGTCATTTTTTTACTGGGCAAGGTCATTTTTGTACTGGGCAAGGTCATTTTTTTACTGGGCAAGGTCATCTTTTTACTGGGCCAGGTCATCTTTTTACTGGGCAAGGTCATCTTTTTACTGGGCACGGTCATTCTTTTACTGGGCAAGGTCATTCTTTTACTGGGCAAGGTCATTTTTTTACTGGGCAAGGCTATTACTGGGCAAGGTCATTTTTTTACTGGGCAAGGTCATTTTTGTACTGGGCAAGGTCATTTTTTTACTGGGCAAGGTCAGTTTTTTACTGGGCAGGGTCATTTTTTTACTGGGCAAGGTCATTTCGTCCAAAGGTGTTTAGGATTTCCGGGCCTCATGGTTAGGGTTTCAAGGCCTCACGGCCTGGTGTTTAGGGTTTCAGGGCCTCAAGGCCTGCTGTTTAGGGTTTCACGGCCTCACGGCCTGGTATTTAGGGTTTCAGGGTTTCAGGGCCTCACGGCC